GGGGTCGCTAGGGCGACGAATCAGGGGCCGCTAAGGCGGCGCGACTTGGCCGCTAGGGCGGCTCGACGAAGTCAGAGAGGGGAGCGCGACTCGGGATGAGCGCGCTCCGGGCAGGAAAAAAAAAATCGACTTGGTGGGCCCTAGGCACAGTTCCCACGAGGGAACCTGCTCGATACCATGAGAAAACTGAAACGAGAATGGGATGAACTATGAATGAAGTGGGTACAAGTACTAACCCTAATTGGGTTGTACCCCTTATAGGATACCCCACTACAGCCTACACAAAAGCATAAGCTATAATGTTCTGACACTGCTCCCAAAGCGATGTCACTTGTGTCAGTGACGAGCTCGAACGGACGGTGCGGATCGGCGATGTGAAGCACGGGCGGTGAGCACAAAATGTTTTTGAGGGCCGAGAAGGCAGCTTGCTCTTTCTCCCCCCATAAGTACTCAACCCCCTTCCTCAGCAGGTCGGTCAACGGGGCAGTCAGCTTCGCCATGTCGGGGACGAACCGGCGCACGTAGTTGACGAACCCCAAAAAACTCTCCAACTCGGTCAAGTTGGTCGGCGCGTGCTATGCTTGAATCGTCGCAATTTTCTTCGGGTCTATTTCCACTCCTGCAGCTGAAATAACGTGTCCCAAAAACTCCAAGCGATCCTGTAAAAATTCACACTTAGACGCTTTTGTCAGTAGGCGGTTCTCACTCATTATTTTAAAAACTGCTTCGATGTCCTGTAAGTGATGTGCTCTGTCAGGGCTGTAAATTAGTATGTCGTCCAGGTATACTATGAAGCACTTATTTAAGAGCGGGCGGAAAGCTCCGTTCATGGTCATTTGAAAAGTGGCGGGGGCGTTGGTCAGTCCGAAGGGCATGACGGTGTATTCGAAGGATCCGTAGCGTGTTCGAAATGCGGTCTTAGGGCAGTCGGGCGGATTGACGCGACTCTGGTGGTAACCCCCGCGGAGGTCGATTTTCGAGAAAACCCGGGCTGTGCGCAGTTGGTCGATCAGTTCGTCGACTCGCGGGACGGGGTAACGAGATTTGATGGTAACCCTGTTCACTGCTCTGTAATCTATGCACATGCGAAATCCCCCGCCTTTTTTCGGTGTGAACAGTATCGGTGCTGCGAAAGGCGACGAACTAGGGCTAATGAATTCCTTCTCGAGCAGGTAATCGAGCTGCTTCCTCAGTTCGTCCAGTTCGGGCTGGGTCAGTCGGAACTGGCGCTGTACTGTTGGCTGTGCCCCCGGTTCTAACTCTATCTTGTGGTCGTGCGGTCGCTGAGGTGGCAGTCCCGTCGGTAAATAGTCCGGGAAAATGTCGCTGTACTGCTTCAACAGTGCTGCCAGGTCAGTCGGTACGTCGGCCAGCAGTTTCTGTAAATCCCCTCCTTTGTCTGCTGCCTCGGCTTCCCGAATGTCGACCGCGTACACGTCAGCCCCTGCCGCTACGGCGCGTTTCATCGTGATCGCGTTGACACGCACCGACGAAGACTCAGGTGAGCCCCAGCGAGGTAAGGCGACGTTGTTACCGTTCACTCGCACGGTGCAGTCACCCGTCGTCCAAACGATTCGCGGATTGTGTCGTCGCAACCAATCATGCCCGAGTAAAATATCGGTTCCGTCGAGGGTTGTTGCGAGCATTTCCTGGCTAAACAAGAAGTTACCCCCACATCGAATCCGAACCCGGTCTACGCGTTCCCGTATCGCCAGCGGCGTGCCGTCTACCAGTCTTGCGTCGATCTCAGGTAAGCATCTGTCCAGCGGCACTCGCAGTTTTCGTGCTGTAGCATTGTTGATGAGGCTGTGGCTGGCTCCCCCGTCTACGAGGATTTTTACTGAGCCCGTCCCGATTTTCCCACTAAGCAGTATGGGGCTGTCTACCGTAGTACCCTCCTTATTCGGCCGGGTGTGGTCGATTGCGTGAACCGGCACAATCACTCGGTGAGGGTCGGTTGGGTCGGGCGAGCGGCGTGACCTGTCAGTAGAGGGCCTATCTGCTACTGACTCCCAGCGTTTCCTTGCTGCTTGGTCTGTTTCTGCTGCTCAGCTTCCCCCTTTCCCTTAGTGTTTTCCGGACATTCGCTCTTGCGGTGTCCCGGCCGATTGCACGCAAAGCAGCACCCTTTGAACGGTGCGGCAGCGGCATTTGCGACGACGGCACGTATCGTGGCGCCCTCGTTCGTCCCACGAGGCCGATGTTCCCAATGGCTGCTTCCGTAGGACCCCGTGAGAAAACTGAAACGAGAATGAATGAACTATGAATGAAGTGGGTACAAGTACTAACCCTAATTGGGTTTTACCCCCTATGGGATCCCCCACTACAGCCTACACAAAAGCATAAGCTATAATGTTCTGACACACCCCCATAGGCAAAATGGGGGAGAACAGGGGGTCACAAGACCAGTCAAGCAAAGCAAAACAAAGCAAAGCTCAGGGTGGATCACAAAGTCACCACACATTCCGAGCACAAGTACAAGGCCACAAGGCCAGTTCACATGCAGGAGTACATATATATATATAAGGCTAGACAAGCAAGAGCAGGTATATATATATGTAACAGTACAAGCAAGGTCAAGAGGTGAGCAAGTGAGGCAAGACAGGGACAGGACCCAACTGAGTGCAGAAGCGCTGATGATCACAAGGCGGAAGTGCCTTGGTGAAAACATCAGCAGTGTTGGCCTCAGAGGCCACGTACGCAAGCCGCAACTGTCCACGCTGCTGTAGCTCACGAGCAAGAAAGTAGCGGAGAGCAATGTGCTTTGTTCTGTGCTCCAGTCGCTGCTCTCGACACAAGGCCAGCATGGCCTTGTTGTCTACGTACAGCACTGGAGGAGAACGAGGCGGCTCTCCGAGGTCAGTCAGCAGGTAGGTGAGCCAGCGAAGCTCCCGTGCAGCCATGGCCCCAGCGTAGATCTCAGCCTCACAACTGGAGCCGAGAACAGAAGACGAGCGAGTAGCCCGCCACGAGACAGAGCCAGAACCAAGGCTGAAGGCCCGCCACGAGCATCTGCGTGCCCAGTAAGGACCACTGGACTGCGCCCTCCAAGCACTAGCCCCATGCCCGACGTACTGCACAAGTAGCGCAACACCCTCTTCGCTGCAGCCATGTGCTCTGGTCGGTGTCTCCCAGGAGCAACATAGCGTGCGAGAATGCTAAGAGGGTATGCAAGGTCAGGTCGTGTGCAGGTCATCAGGTACATGAGACAGCCAACAAGCTCTGGGTACGGGCCACTCGACTCTACGGACTCATCCGAAGGCAGAGCTGAGAGCGAGTGGCGAGTAGGCAGAGGAGTGGCCTGAGGCGAGGAGTACGTGAAGCCGAAGCGCTGAAGGACCTGCTGCACCATGTGTGACTGAGTCAGGGTAATGGTGCGGCGTGCTCTGTCCCGGGTGATCTGCAAGCCAAGGTAGCTGCGCAGTTCACCCAGGTCTGTGCACGTGTGTCTCTTCTGCAGCTCGGACTTCACGTAGGCGAGTCCAGCAGTGTCAGCTGTGGCAAAGACCAAGTCGTCGACGTACACAAGGATGTAGAACGGCGGAAGAGAGGTGTCGGTGCGTAGAAACAGCGACGGGTCGGCAGTAGAAGGAGCAAACCCAAGAGCCGCAAGTGTAGTCCTCAGTGTGTCGTGCCACTCACGTGGCGCCTGGCGGAGACCGTAAACTGGACGCCGGAGGCTCCACTGGGTACCAGGAGGGAACGACCCAGTGAAGCCAGGTGGGCGGCGCAGCCAGATCTCCTCGTGCAGGCTGCCCTGCAAGAAAGTTGTGCTGAAGTCGAGAGAGTGCAGCTCGTAGTCACGGTGAGCAGCAACGTGCAGCAGTACCCGAAGAGTGGTCATCTTCGGGGTGGGAGAGAAGGTCTGAAAGTAGTCAACTCCCTGCCGCTGACTGAAGCCACGAGCCACGTAACGTGCCTTGAAGACAGGCGGAGAACCCGGCGGCCGCTTCACTCTGAAGATCCACATGCCACTGACGATGTTCGCCCCAGGAGGGGGAACGGCGTCAACGTAGGTGCCTGTGGACTTCCAGGAAGCCATCTCTGCGTCCATAGCTGCCTGCCACTGAGAGGAGTAGGGACCCTCTATCGCCTCCACGTAAGAGCGCGGAGTCGGGATGTCAAGTGCATCCGGGTCTCCCTTAGGGGTAAGCAGTACGGACAAGAGATGAGGTGAAGCAGCGGCCAAGCAGTGGAACTCCTCCTGCCTGTCCTCAAGGACGTCCATGCCAAGGGCACACTCACCCCCGACGGACGGAGGACAGACAGACTCAGACTCAGCAACAAGACTGGCAGCGTAGTCTAGACGACAGCGAGCAGCAAAGTCGACGAGCTCAGCAACTAGGGCAGACGCAGCAGTGGACTCAAAGGAAGGGTTAGTGACAACAGTAGCAAGGAGACGCGTGACAGTAGGACTGGCAGCACGAAGAGAGTCCGACTCCGGGTCGGCAAGAGCAGGAAGAGAAGACTCAGGAGGAGAAGGCAAAGGGGCACGCAGAGGAGAAGTGGACGGACGCAGAGACATCCGGTGCGTGCCAGGAACAGGAGGAGGGCGCTGACGCGAACCGCGACCACTAGTGCGAGCAGCACGGACAGGCGACGCAGGGCGAGACGCAGGCTCACGACGCTCAGCAAGACCTCCAGTAGGACCAGTGTAGGGAGATGGGAGGCGACTGCTGAAGCTGCAGACACACGGGCAACAGGAGCGGCTGGCACAGTGGCTACCGGGACAGCGCCCCGGACTACTGGAGTAACTGGCTCGGCGGCTACGAAGAGCGGCAGGAGCAACGGACCCACGGGCGACAGGCGCAGCAGGCTCACTGGGCTACCGGGACAGCGCCCCGGACTACAGGTGCTGCGGACTACAAGACGGCAGCCTCCGCTCAACCTCCCACAAACAGTCCCACCCCCCTGACACACACCCGCTGCTACACCCCTAGCTCCACTCCCACGCACCCCCCTTAAACCCTAAACCCCAGTCTCCCACACAACCACCCCCCTCAGCGACAGCTGCAGCAGTGGGAGACGACGGAGGAGGAGAAGGAAGGGGCGACACAAACGGAGCACCCCCACACCCGCAAACGGGGGGGGGAGGGGGGGGGGGGGGGGGAAACAGTGCGCACGAGGGCGCAGACAGTAGCAGAGCGCACGGGGGCGCGAGCACGAGGCACGGGCAGCAACAGGCACGGGCAGCACAGGCACGGGCAGCACAGGCACGGGCAGCACAGGCACGGGCAGCAACAGGCACAGGCAGCACAGGCACGGGCAGCACAGGCACGGGCAGCACAGGCACGGGCAGCACAGGCACGGGCAGCAACAGGCACGGGCAGCACAGGCACGGGCAGCACAGGCACGGGCAGCACAGGCACGGGCAGCAACAGGCACGGGCAGCACAGGCACGGGCAGCACAGGCACGGGCAGCACAGGCACGGGCAGCACAGGCACGGGCAGCAACAGGCACAGGCAGCACAGGCACGGGCAGCACAGGCACGGGCAGCACAGGCACGGGCAGCACAGGCACGGGCAGCAACAGGCACGGGCAGCACAGGCACGGGCAACACAGGCACGGGCAGCACAGGCACGGGCAGCACAGGCACGGGCAGCAACAGGCACGGGCGGCACATGCACGGGCAGCAACAGGCACGGGCAGCACAGGCACGGGCAGCACAGGCACGGGCAGCAACAGGCAAAGGCAGCACAGGCACGGGCAGCACAGGCACGGGCAGCACAGGCACGGGCAGCACAGGCACGGGCAGCAACAGGCACGGGCAGCACAGGCACGGGCAGCACAGGCACGGGCAGCACAGGCACGGGCAGCAACAGGCACGGGCAGCACAGGCACGGGCAGCACAGGCACGGGCAGCACAGGCATGGGCAGCACAGGCACGGGCAGCAACAGGCACGGGCAGCACAGGCACGGGCAGCACAGGCACGGGCAGCACAGGCACGGGCAGCACAGGCACGGGCAGCAACAGGCACGGGCAGCACAGGCACGGGCAGCACAGGCACGGGCAGCAACAGGCACAGGCAGCACAGGCACGGGCAGCACAGGCACGGGCAGCAAAGGCACGGGCAGCACAGGCACGGGCAGTACAGGCACGGGCAGCACAGGCACGGGCAGCACAGGCACGGGCAGCAACAGGCACGGGCAGCACAGGCACGGGCAGCACAGGCACGGGCAGCACAGGCACGGGCAGCAACAGGCACGGGCAGCACAGGCACGGGCAGCACAGGCACGGGCAGCAACAGGCACAGGCAGCACAGGCACGGGCAGCACAGGCACGGGCAGCACAGGCACGGGCAGCAACAGGCACGGGCAGCACAGGCACGGGCAGCAACAGGCACGGGCAGCACAGGCACGGGCAGCACAGGCACGGGCAGCACAGGCACGGGCAGCAACAGGCACGGGCAGCACAGGCACGGGCAGCACAGGCACGGGCAGCAACAGGCACAGGCAGCACAGGCACGGGCAGCAACAGGCACAGGCAGCACAGGCACGGGCAGCACAGGCACGGGCAGCACAGGCACGGGCAGCAACAGGCACGGGCAGCACAGGCACGGGCAGCAACAGGCACGGGCAGCACAGGCACGGGCAGCACAGGCACGGGCAGCACAGGCACGGGCAGCACAGGCACGGGCAGCAACAGGCACGGGCAGCACAGGCACGGGCAGCACAGGCACGGGCAGCACAAGGCGTACCGGGTCCAGGGGCGGCTTCTGGGGTCCAGGGGCGGCACCTGCAGCTGGGCGGCGGTAGCTGCTGCGGCAGAGCGGCGGCGGCTGCTGCTGCTGATAGAGCGGCGGCTGCTGCTGCTGGGTCGGTGGCGGCAGCTGCTGCAGGTCTGGCGGCTGCTGCTGCTGCAGACTCTGGCGGCGGCTGCTGCTGTAGACTCTGGCGGCGGCTGCTGCTGCAGGCTCTGGCGGCGGCTGCTGCTGCAGGCTCTGGCGGCGGCTGCTGCTGCAGACCCTGGCGGCGGCTGCTGCTGAAGACCCTGGCGGCGGCTGCTGCTGCAGGCTCTGGCGGCGGCTGCTGCTGCAGACCCTGGCGGCGGCTGCTGCTGCAGGCCTGGCGGCGGCTGCTGCTGCTGGGTGGTGGCGGCCGCTGCTGTAGGCTCTGGCGGCGGTTGCTGCTGGCTCTGACGGCGCCCCGCGGATCCTGCACGGACGCCGCGACGAGCAGGGGCGACGCCCCGCGGGTCCCGCACGGACGTCGCGACAAGTAGGGCGGCGCCGCGCGGGTCCCGCACGGACGTCGCGACGAGCAGGGGCGACGCCCCGCGGGTCCCGCACGGACGTCGCGACGAGCAGGGTGACGCCGCGCGGGTCCCGCACCGGCGTCGCGACGAGCAGCGGGGAGGGCAGCGCGCAGGCCCCCCGAGGGCGCTTCGAAGGACGGGAAAACCGCCGCGCGCCCTGAGCGCACGGCAGGAAGAAGGACTGCAGCGGAAGCATAGGGGCCCACAGGCCAAGGTAGAACGGGCTCTGATAACATGTGAAAAAGTAGGTGTGGGGCCTAGGCTTAGTAGCCTAGGCCCACACTAGGAGGTAGGTGAGTTCGAGTGGGTTAGGTGAGTATCGAGAAATTTGGAAGGGAAGTGAAGTGACTAACAAGAGTTGGAATACAAGTACATTGCCCTAAATTGGGTTGTACTCATTACAGAGTACCCCACTGCAGGCTAGACAGCAAATATATTCTGACAGTGCGAGCAGCACGGACAGGCGACGCAGGGCGAGACGCAGGCTCACGACGCTCAGCAAGACCTCCAGTAGGACCAGTGTAGGGAGACGGAGCAGGCAGTGGGGAGGCCGGCTGTAACTGTAACTGTGACGGGACAGGCTGTGGACACTCTAAGGGAGGAGGAGGACCAGTAGAAGGCGAGAGACTAAGAACCTGCTGAAGGAGCGGAACGAAGTACGGCCGAGGCCGTGCGGCGACTCCAGACACAGCAGGGACAGCACCAATACCCCCAGCAGCAGCACCAACACCAGCAGCACCTCCAGCTCCAGTACCTCCAGCAGTACCAGTAGCACCCTCAGCAAGACCGCCTCCAGGACCGACAGCAGTAGCCTCCGCGCCAGCACCCGAAGCAGCTCCCGCTCCAGAAGTACCCGCAGGCCCAGCAGCTCCAGTACTCCGAGTACGAGCAACGCCGGGACCCGCGGCACCAGCACCCACAGCAGCAGCAGAACCTCCAGTACCCGCAGCACCTCCAGCTCCAGCAGCTCGCCTCCAGCGCCGGGCAAACCACTCACGCAGCTCCTGTGGAGAGAGTGGCTCCCGGCGAGACGAAGCACCCGGAGAACCGCCAGGCTCAGCACCGCCAGACGCCCCACGAGCAGGCTCAGCTCCCTCAGGCTCAGCACCTCTAGGCGTAGCACCCCCAGGCTCAGCACCCCCAGGCGTAGCACCCCCAGGCTCAGCACCCCCAGACTCAGCACCCCCAGGCTCAGCACCCCTAGTCGTAGTACCCACACGCTCAGCACCCCCAGAGTCAGCACCCCCAGAGTCAGCACCCCCAGCCTCAGCACCCTCAGCAGCACTAGAGTCACCAGCGACCTCGACAGGCTCGACAGCGTCTACCTGGGACACACCTGAAGGGGCAGGACCCTGAGGGGGGAGGGGGTCTACCGGGGGGGGACCTGGCACAAGGAAGAGCGGTGGCGGGGGGAGGGACGGAGTGCGGTAGGGGAAGACACGGTAGTAGGGGACCGACTCGTCGAACGTGACGTCCTGGGAGGACAGAACACGGCGAGAGGTGGGGTGGTAGAACTGCCACCCTGGCGCGTCAGGGGGGAAACCCAGGAAGACGCAAGGAGCAGCACGAGGGGACAGCTTGTCCGCAGACAAGTCGCGGACAAACGCCCGAGATCCCCAGACACGGAACGCAGACGCATCGCCTACCTTCCCCGTCCACAGCAAAGCTGGGGAGGTCTCCGGCATGGAGACCCTGGGGTGAAGGTTGATCTGATGCGCCGCGTACCGAACCGCAAACGGCCACAGAAAATGGGGGGCAGCCGCATGCATCATGGACGTACGAGCGACGTCCATGACGATGCCAATGCGGCGCTCAGCAATCCCATTTTGCTGTGGAGAGTCCGGAAGCGTGAAGGTCTGGCGGATGCCTCGTGCACGACACTAGGCTCGCAGAAGGCCAGAGGAGAACTCTCCGCCTCTGTCAGAGTGCAGACGCAGAACAGGAAAGTCCGAGCCGAAGCTCCGCCTGAGCTGGAGACGAGCTGCGCGGATCCAGTCGATCAACACCTCAGTGACATCACCCTTGCTGCGCAAGGGGAAGACTGTGGTGTAACGCGAGTAGTCGTCAACCACCAGCAGGAAGTAGCGCTCGTGACCCTGTCCATGGACGCGGGCCGGGCCCCACACGTCCATGTGAAGCGTCTGCAGCGGGGCCTCTGTCGGAGGAAACTGGGAGGAGTGAGGGGCAGCCCGCTGCCGCCCCTCGACACAGGGGACGCAGGTAGGGCCAGGCCCCGGAGGAAGGGGAGGGAGGGACCGGGGAAGACCAGAGACAAGGACACGGGAGGCCATGCTTCGGAGACGAAGCAGGTAGGGGTGACTAAGGCGGTGGTGCCAGAGGAGACTCTCGTGAGACAGGAAGCGACACGAGCAGGGGGCAGACTCAGGACCAGACCTGGACGCTGCAGCAAACACCTGACCCGATGCAGCTACCTGACTAGATGCAGGGACTGGAGGAGACGCAGTGGTAAGTGTGTACAGGCTTGACCCCGGCCGACGAGTAAACGTGGCTAGGTGTCGGCCTGTCCGAGCGTCCGTGCAGTGGGTCACCCGCTGACTCGCAGGAGTGAACTGGTGAACCCCCGCATCCTGCAGGTCGGCACCACTCACCGAGTTCGTAGAGAACGAGGGGAGGTAAAGACCAGACAGGGTGCCAGAGGGGGCCGCCGGACACAGGAGGACAGTGGAGAAGTGAGCAAGGACAGGGCCCCCAGAGGGGTCTGCCAGAGAGAGTGCAACTGGCCGACCAAGCGGCGTGAGTGTCTTGCGGTCTCGAAAGAAGGAGCGGGAAGCCCCCGAGTCAAGGGTGAAGGTGTGAGAGGCCGGAGCCGACGCGGTACCTGAGAGAGCAGACTCACCCGCACCTGAGGAAGCAGACTCACTAGCACCTAGAGCAGCAGCCGCACCTGTACCTGGAGCAGGATACACACTAGCACCCAGAGCAGCAGCCTCACCAGCAGCTAGAGCAGCAGGCTCGATACCCGGGTCAGGCGGTAAGCACAGGTGACCGGCACGGTCAGCACTAGTAGGCAATGCATACATGGCAGTGAGAATAGCATCATAGTCAAGAGCAAATATATCTACCCTCTGCCTGAGCAACTCCAGGCGTCGCCAAACTCGGTACGCCAGGCGTCGCTCAGACGGGCGAAGCAGCGGGACTGTGTGTGACTAGGCGTCCCACAAGGCTGACCAGTCCGAGCACCAGTGCGAATCACGTAAGAGCAGCGAACAGAACTGAGAGACCCTCCACTCTGAGCGTACCACTCACGAAGCTGCTGGGGCGTGAGAGACGCGCGTGGGGGTCGCTGGAGCTGCATCTGGCCGCCGCCAGTAGTAGTAGCAGTAGTAGCGCCGCCACCCCTACAACCCCAACCAGCGTACCACTCACGCAGCTGCTGGGGCGTGAGGGACTCACGCGGACGTCGCTGGGGCTGCATCTGGCTCTGCCAGTAGAAGCAGGAGCAGGAGTAGCAGCAGTAAGGCAGGCAGCCAAGCAAGCGGCAGGCAGCGCGCTAGTAAGGCAGGGGCTCACCAGTGGTGGGAAGAGCAGGCTCGACGACTCGGCGACTCGGCGGTGCGGGCGGCTCGGGCGGCTCGGCGGCACGGCGGCACTGCAGCAACTGCGGCTCGGCGGCTCGGGCGACTCGGGCGACTCGGCGGTACGGCGGCTCGGCAGCAACTGCAGCGCGGCGGCTCGGCGACTCGGCGGCTCGGGCGGCTGAGGTGGCGCTGCGGCTCGGGCGGCTCGAGTGGCTCGGGTGGCTCGGCACTAGCTCGGCGGCGCCGGCGGCTCGGTGGTGACGGCGGAGCCGCTTGGGGACGGCGGCGGGGCCGGGTGGAGCGGCGACGGGGCCAGCAGAGGTGGCGCCGGGGCCGCAGGGTAGGCATCCGGGCCAGTAGAGGCGGCGCCGGGGCCAGCAGAGGTGGCGCCGGGGCCGGGAAGGGCAGCGCCAGGGCCGCAGGGGTAGGCGACGGGGCCAGTAGAGGCGGGGCCGGGTCGGGAAGAGCGGCGTTGGGGTCGCCGGGGTAGGCGACGGGGCCAGCCGAGGTGGCGCCGGGACCGGGAAGGGCGGAGCCGGGGCCGGGAAGGGCGGCGCTGAGGCCGCAGAGGTAGGTGACGAGGCCACTAGGGCGGCAGATCGGGGCCGCGAGGGCGGCGCGACGCGGCCGCTAGGGCGGCGCGACGGGGTAGCGGGGCCGCGCGCCTCGGGGCGCGCGCCAAAAAATAGGTCGCACGCCACGGGGCGTGCGACACATCGAGTAGCAGCGGAAGCAGTAGTAGGGCCCTAGGAACAGTTCCCACGAGGGAACCTGCTCGATACCATGAGAAAACTGAAACGAGAATGAATGAACTATGAATGAAGTGGGTACAAGTACTAACCCTAATTGGGTTGTACCCCCTATGAGATACCCCACTACAGCCTACACAAAAGCATAAGCTATAATGTTCTGACACCCCGGTATCGGTTGGCGGAAGAAGTCAAGTTTCTCCGCCATAGCGAGAATTTCTTGAAAGTCGGTGACGCCGCGAAGCTGGATTTCCTGAGCGATGTCCTGCTTCAGTCCGCCGATGTAGCGGTCGATGCGCTCGCTCTCGTGCATATATCCCACCTGCTCGCATAGCGCCAGAAATCCGCTCGTGTAATCTTGGACGGAATCGAGTTGGCGCAAAGTGCGGAGCTTCTGTCGCGCCGCGATCGAAGCCGCGATTGGTTCAAAACGAGCGCGCAGACCTGCGCACCACGCGTCCCACGTCCGATACGGGGGCACCTCCACGAAATACGACGGCGCCCAAGGTCCGGTTTGTCCTTCCCGTGTCGGTAGAGTCGCGTAGTCCACCGGCTTCGTGACGATGACGCGCCACCAGTCCATGGCGGGTCCTCGCAGCAACGACACGGCGTAGCGAATCTTCGCCGTATCCTCCGAGACGTAGTTCGCGTCGAAGAAGACGTTCAACGTGAAGAGCCGCGCCTGAACGGTAGGACCACCCCGCTGACTTGGGTCAAAGCATGGCGGACGCTGCGCCTTTAGTGGCATCGGCGACGGAAGAGTTGATTCGCCGGCCGGCACCGAAATCGTGACTCGAGGCTGAGTCCTGGCCGCATTCGTCGCGTCGGGGTGTGTCGTGCCGTGGTCGTCATCTGCGTCATGGCGGACGACGCCATCACTTGCGGCGCTCGCGGGTTGCCCCACACTTCCGTGCTGTGATGTCTGTGGTGCGGGCTGAATCGGAGTGCCAGGTGCTTGGGATTGTGCCCGTGTGAGGTCGTTTTGCAGGGACGAGCGTTCTGCCGTCAGCGTCGCGATTTCCTCGGCGCTCTCGCGAATTTGTCGCAGCAGATCGTTCAAGTGCTCCTGCGTGAGAGTCGTGACGTCGATATGTTCAGCCATTTCGAAGGGCGTCGGCTCGTCTTAGTCTAGGCGCAGTCGTGGCTGCACGCGTTTACGAGAGAACGCGAGGACAGCGGCTCCTAGGTGCTAAGGTACGTGAGTCCAGGCCCCAAAATGTCAGGGTAAAATACCCTGATTGCCCTGACTGGCGGCCGCTTTTTTTGGGGTTACCCTGACCCAGTCAGCCTCCTGGATTTCTTACTCTGACTCATAAAGAGTTTGATTTTTTTTACCCTTATGAAATCCGAGTTATAGATTGTTTCCCCTGACTTCCATCAGTGTTTTGAACCTGCTACACTGATACCGAGTCTTTCGTAGCGAGGATATGGTGGATGTTGGCGCAAAACAGCGCCAACGAGTGTTGCATTGGGTAGAATTCCTGTTATGAGCATCGACCTCAGGTCCTTTCCAACCGCAACTTTACCTCTAACCCTATGAGACACTTAAGCTCGCAACTGTGTAGTGTTTATATATTATATTGGCAATGTTATCAAGATAAGTTATTTTTTTCTCTGTTTCTATCAGGGTACGAGATTGTTTACCCTAGGCGTCAGGGTTGGCCCACCCTGGAACTCTGATTTGACAGGGTGGGCCAAAACCAATTTTGGGCCCTGCGTGAGTCCCTTCGAGTGAAAAAATTAAAGTTGATTTCCTGGGATGCGGAGATGCGCGGTCCGAAAGGAAAGAGGCTCTGATACCAAGTGTTACGTGTGCAATGAATCGAAGTAGCGAGAATTGCATTAAGGTGTCAAACGAGTACAAAGATGTGAGCGAAGGCATGAGCGAACATTTATACGCGAAACATGCAAATGGTAACGCGGTACGTGCGAGCTAGCTAGTGCTATGCTGGTAGCGAGGCTCGGGCTAGTCCCGAAGCGTAGGCCGACACGGCCGGGCCAGTAGTGCGAGGTTTGGCAAAAACAGTGCGCGCGAAGTTGGCGAAGTCCCGTTAGTAGTAACGGGCGAACAACGGCTGTTGCTGTAGGCGATGTAGTCGGGCTCAGTAAGGAATGCCTAGAAAATTCCTAACAGGATGCAAAAAGAAACAGTACGGTATATCAATGAAATTAGGGTACATTCAGCTGTGGACACACGTCCCAATCGATGTGTCCCAATCGTTTCTACCGCACTGCATCGTATTACACCAAGTTGCACCCTAGTTTCGAAATTTTCGCGTCTCTGGTTTAGTTCGGTTCGGAGCGGTACACTCGATTGGGACACATCGATTGGGACATGTGTCCACAGCGGAATGTACCCTTAGTGCTTTGTATTATAAATTAGACAAAACAATAACATATTCCAAAAGACTGGCAATTTGTTACATGTGGAATGAAACTAATGAGAGGGTTGCTATAAAAGGACCAGAACAAGGTTGTAAAGTGGAATGAAGAGAACAGTCAATAAATTGTTACACACAAAAACTATGAATGCTCGCAATAAGACGCATGTTATTCCATTAGCGTCACGCCTTCTATAACAAAGCAAGGATTGGCACAAGTTTACGTGAGGCATAACGAACACACCGGCTGATACGGTAACTGTAGAGGAAGAGTGCGCGATGTTGTGCAGATTTGTTGATTCTGCCTGCATCCCTTATTATGAAACAAAGACTTTCCCCCCTTTCGTGTCTGACACTTCAGGTCATTCCCTTAAGTCCTATCAAGCAGAGCAGAACCAACACGAGATCCTATACAAAGTCATTACACCTTGGTAGGCTATATCTGACACTCAATGGCATGCTCAGACGTTAGCATTTCATGGGAAGGATCTGCAGCAATCTGCAGTCTTAGAGGGCATAAAACTTGAACACATTCTCCGCTGCATAGGCGGGTCCTCGCGTTCCACGCCTGGTGCTAGTGTTTGGGACGTCAATGGAGGAGCAGCTGGTGGCGGCAATCCCTGTGGTGCCCCAACTTGCCCTCTGTGCCTTGGCCACAAGTGGTAGGTTGACCCAGGAATGAGCCGCTTCTTGGAAGAAACCTTCCTGAATCCTGCCACTGAATGAAATGTTACAAGGTCATGATTAGAAAAGTCAGTGAGCACTTGGCGTGCTGTGATTGTTGAGTGGGTGTGATAGTATCGAAGAGTGTTGTCAGGAAGGACGACCACAATGGGGCTGCTCGAGTCTGGAATACAGCGGCCGTCCGAAATCCCAGTATTTTGAAAGCCCGAGTCCGAAATTTCTGGACTCCAGCTTGACGTACATCCCCACAAAAACGAGCTGCAGGCGTCCTTGTGACTTTTGAGTCATGATTTTGAAGATTGTTGTGCAGGAATGCTAGCTCTATGGATGGCGAGAGCTTGGACTTGCGGCTAAATGACAGGCACATATCCTCTGATAGCTAGGATTAGGATAGGATGTGTTAGGACTCTTCAAACTCGTAATATAACTCTGTTCTAACTCACCATTCAGGAAGAACGGGCTTCTCAGATGGTTGAAACTTGAAACATTTGTTGTGGAGGGCGCCGTGAGCGCCGCTTTGTCACAAAGTTGTCACGGTGACAGAACTTTGTGACGGGGAAAGTTGCATGTATCGAATCGAATGCCCCTCCCCGTCTTCGTCCACTCGCGTGTCAATGGCAGCGTGAGTCGCTTGAAACGCGTAACGAATCCAGCCTTCAGCAAAAAACGGGCGATTGCGACAGTGCGGTGCGGTCGTATTGACGGTGTGCGGCGAGCGACGTTGCTTGATGCCAAGCAATGCTGGGCCAAGTGACAAGCTTAGCGAGAGTGAGAAACACTGGGCCCTCATGTTGGAAGCGGAGACTGGCAGAAAGCAGAGGAGATCGGTTCGTGTACAGTGGAAACTGAATACTAGATCGTGTAGTCACCAGTGATAGATACACACAGACGTGACAAGATCGTCGGTAAAATGCTAATTTGCCAGAAGGCACGGGGCAGGTGGAGAGAGGGTATATCGCTGAAGCGGATTGAATTGGGTACAGTTTTGCCCTAGACGGGAGTCGAGCCTCTCTTGGAGCGGGAGGAGAGGTTAAAACCCGAAGCCTGAATTACAAATCTGAGTCAACGCTAGGTTCGGGTTGGGCTCGGTTTGGGTTGAGTGAGGTTTGTAAGAATCGCGAAAGTAGCGAGCTAGCGAAAACAAAAAGCGACAACACGAGTGCTGGAGTAGAGTGAGAAAATGTGCGACAGCACAGCTAACAACTCATTCACTCACTTCTAGATTCTGATGATCGCACACCACTAGGGTTTTTTAGGTGCAGCGCGTATATGCAATCGAAGGGAAACGCAGGCGCAAGATGCGAGTGTCAAGCACGGAAAAAATGGGCACGAGGAGATGAGAAATTAGCACTTTGCCGACCTCGCGACCCTCGACCGTCGCCCTTGCTTTATCCGCCTACCGCCCTCGCCTCGCCCGTCGCCCTCGCCGCCCCGCCGCCCGTCGCCCCCTCTTCCTCCGCCCGTCGACCTCGCTTTCCCCCGCCCGTCGCCCTCGCTTCCCCTCCCCATCGCTCGCCCCATCGACCTCTCCTCTCCCACCTGTCGCTGCGTCGATGTCGTTCTCATTCCCGCCGCCCATGCCTACTCCCCTCTCTCGCGCCGACGCCCTGGTTTTCCACCCCGCCGCCTTCTCTCCTCTTCCCATTCGAACACCTATTGTCCCTTCAATCGCTGCTGCTTCCTTTTTGCGGAGGCCACTTTCCCCCTTCTCATTCTCCGTTTTCAGTCGCATCATCTCCCAATCCGCCCACGTCGCAACTTGCATTCTAATTCATGTCGAGCTCAGTTTCCCCCCCGGAATGTGCTCAGTTTCCCCCCCGGAATGCGCTCAGTTTCCCCCCCGGAATGCGCTCAGTTTCCCCCCCGGAATGCGCTCAGTTTCCCCCCCGGAATGCGCTCAGTTTCCCCCCCGGAATGCGCTCAGTTTCCACCCCGGAATGCGCTCAATTTCCCCCCCGGAATGCGCTCAGTTTCCCCCCCGGAATGCGCTCAGTTTCCCGGACGGAATGCGCTCAGTTTCCCCCCCCGGAATGCGCTCAGTTTCCCCCCCGGAATGCGCTCAGTTTTCCCCCCGGAATGCGCTCAGTTTCCCCCCCGGAATGCGCTCAGTTTCCCCCCCGGAATGCGCTCAGTTTCCCCCCCTGAGCGCTCGGATTCCCCCCCTGATTGCGCTCAGTTTCCCCCCCTGATTGCACTCAGTTTCTTCCCCCACCCCCCCCGATTGAGCTCAGTTTCCCCTGAATGTCCTCCGTCACCCCCCTGGTTCCCCTGTTTCCCCCCCCTGGTTCCCCTGTTCGTTTTCCCCGGTTCCCCTGTTTTCCCCCCCTGGTTCCCCTGTTCCCGCCCCCTGGTTCCCCTGTTCCCGCCCCCTGGTTCCCCTGTCCACCCCCTTCTTGCCTTCCTTGCTGTCTAGGCCAGCATCCTTCCCGCCTATCCTCTTCTCACTGTTCCTCTCTCTTCTTACCCCCTTCTCTTCTCTCATCCCTTCCTCCCCTCTCTCATCCCTTCCTACCCTCTCTCATCCCTTCCCCCCCTCTCTTGTCCTTTTTCAACCCTGTTATTGTCTTCAACAAGCATGTAACTCGAAGAGCTGGAGGGGTTTCACGACCCTGTGACTCACCTGCATTCCCTCCCTTCCCTGTTTCTAATTTCCCTCTCTAGTCCTTCCCACCTTCCCTCTCTTCACGAGCTATGCATTGCAGCATGGAGCAACCCAGTACGATTTGATTTCAGTTGAGGCTGCTGTGCGTCCTCATTGTGACATCCAATGGCATCTTACACCATGTTGAAACTGTACTCAAGTCGCTGTTCATGCTGCTGTTTGTTGGGAACAAATAGTCTTAAGCGCCTCTGTCGTGTCGAAACTCAAGACACAAGCGAAGCAGCTCAAATCGAAGCACCGCGAGTCAACCCTCGGAGGTTAACGTTACCGCTGGAGGTTACGAGAAAGTCAAAGGTCAGCGACCTTTGACCTGACGCAGCGCGACAGCAAGGACACACAACTGACTCGACATTGAGCAGTTGCCCGAGTCGCACTGTATCGAACCGCAACAGTAAAACAGTTACAATTATGTCTTTTCATATTCTCTGTACTCGTATATATATTCCTGTATCTCTTTGCTTTAATTAACTTACTTTGCCCTCACATACTAGCGCAAGGTGGTTCAAGGACTTTATTCAAACGTTTCCGCTACTACATCATTTACTCAGACTTTAACTCTACTAAAGATCCTAGGGCGTTCAGCCCAACATGGTATGAGAGCTGGTTAGAGTTAAAAATTTCTCTTCAACACTTAATACATCAAGAAGACATGTCTGCTAGAAAAGAGAGGAGCTCCTCCAACGGCTCTCCCGGTACTACCCCTACTCCACCTCCTGCCTCTGGCCTACTGACAGAGGAAGGGACAACAACTAGACCAGCAGCTGGGTCTACGGAAACACCCGCAAACCAAGGCACGGGCTTCGATCCAAGTATGATGGAGAAATTCTTCTCCTTCATGTCCTTCTACGGGCAGCATCAGCAAGGAGTACCTGCGCAATCAAACAACAGCAACAACAACAACAACAACAACGTGACGCCCATGAGTCTCGATGGCTCATCCCACGCATGCATGGGACATCCAAGCAACACCGTGTTAAACAATACAATAAGAGCAGGAGTCCTAGACAAGGATTCATTACTACTACCCGACGGCAGAGAACTTCAACGGGCACGAGGAACTTGCCTCACCTGCCCCGAAGCCGACTTACCACATCGACCGTTTACTCCTCACCACAACCCGAGCGCACCCGCGTACGCACCACTCGAGAAGGTGTACGGCGATATTCTCTTCAATCGAGAACCAGGACAAGTTACTTACAACTACACGATAACCTTCATCGACGCCGCCACTCGATACGTCTGGCACCTAAACCTACCCAGCCGCGACATGGCACTCGCAGCGTTCGCCGCCTGGCTACCAGTAGCAGAGAGAGAGTCGGGAGCACAGCTGAAAAGCTTCCAGTCAGACGGAGGAGGAGAATACACCTCTCAGCGCTTCAAGCAGTACCTGGCGGAAAGAGGAATCAACCAGCTCCTCTCCCTTCCCTACGCCCATCAGCAGCAAGGTGTCGCAGAAAGAATGAACAGGACTCTGCAGAACAGCATGCGCAAACTGCTACGTGGCATGCGGCTACCCAACCACCAGTGGCCTGCAGCAATGGACCACGCTGTCATGCTGCACAACTTGATGTCGTCGTCCTCACTTCCGAACAACGCATCACCGCATCTGCTGTGGACAGGGAAACAGGGCAGCACAAAAATGTTACGAGTTTTCGGGTGCATGGTACAGTACCGACCCCCAGAAGCACGAGCGAGAAGATTTTCACAACGCGCACAATGGGGACTACACCTCGGCATCGAAAAGAATGACAACGCGTGGAAAATCTTCGACGTCCACTCCAAGAAAACAGTAGCAGCACGTGGCGTGATCTTCTACGAACGACTCACGCTTCAGACGTACCTCGCCAACTTGCACGAAAATGAGGACCCCACAGGTGGCTTTCGTGGTGATCGAGCCTTCGCCTCAGCAGCGGACGAAGCAGCCTGGGACGAGCAGAACGTCGACAACGCATCAGAAGAAGCCGGACCTCTACCGTTCTGCTCCGTCAACGTCCCCATGGACGAAGAAAATCCTCGCGAAAGCGCCAACGCCGAAGTCTTGTACCACTTCGCCGACAACGGTTACGTAACACCTGCGACAGTCAACACCAACGAAGCAGAACGGATAGGGCCGAATTTCATACCCGACCCAGAAGCGGGAGATGAAGCAGCTTATCCCGAGGACACAACTCTCCCCCGCTACTCACAGACTGGACTGCAGATTCTCAGCCTCGTCACCGCAGTCCACGGCAATGCTCTTCCAAAAGAGCCTGCGACAGTTCAGCAGGCTCTGGGGGGGGAAGACAGGGAGAAATGGCGTGAAGCCATGGACAGAGAGTTAAAGGCGCTGGAGGAACGCAACACCTGGAAAGTCGTTCCCGTAAGCGTGGCAAGGAACAAGACCATCCTCACCGGGAAATGGGTCTTCCGCATTAAAACAAAGGCAGACGGTACAATCGAGAAATTCAAAGCACGCTGGGTTGTGCGTGGATTCGACCAGGAGCACGGACGGGACTTCACCGAGACATTCGCCCCGGTCAGCCGACATACCTCACTCCGAATTCTTCTCGCGATCGCCGCTATGAAGAAGAAGAAACTGCGACAAATCGATGTCGCCAACGCGTTCCTCTACGCACCCGTCGACGCCGAAATCTTCGTCGAGCTCCCACACGGTACCCACGGGGAACCTAACCAAGTTTGCCAGCTACTGAAATCGCTCTACGGTATCAAACAAGCCCCGCGGCTGTGGCAGCAGCACCTACACACTCGCCTCACTCGTATCGGATTCCGCCAACTACCTCACGACCAAAGAATGTATCGACTCACAAAAAACGTCGACTATATCCTGCTGATCGTCTACGTCGACGACCTACTCTACATTGGCTCCACCGACGACGTCACCACCTGGTTCGAAGGGGAGCTGCAAAGGGATCTTACACTCACGGTCTCCTCTACCGTCACTCAGTACCTCAGACTCAACATCCGCGAAGAAGAGAACGCGATCTATCTCAGCGCCGAAAAGTATGCCGACACTATCGCCAAACGCTTCTCGCTCACACCTACCACTATCTCCACGCCATACCGCTACACGGCAGGGAACGACAAAGGAGGTCCCGCTCTACTCAAAACCGCCGGAATACGCGACTACCAGAGGAAGTTGGGCTGCCTTCTCTTCGTAGCCGTCACCTGCCGCCCAGATCTGTCCTACTCCGCATGAAAGAGTACGACGGCTTATGCCAGCTATGCTTGCTTGCCTCTACTTTATCATGCTATTTCTAGCATAGGATAATCATATGCATGCATGAATTGCTTGATTTCCTAGGCTAGGTGGTTTCCTATATTTTATTATAGTTATAGCACCGAGCTAGGTTGCGTGCACCGAATTCTGGCTTTTCGGTTGCCACCGAATTGCCTTCTACATAATTCGGTAAGGATCTGTTCGGGACGCTTCGCGACCCGCGGAACCTTCGCGTAACACCTGGTTACGGGGCCTTGTGTCGAGCCTATATATAGCCTCGTGTTGTACCCAGGTGATCATTCAATTCAATTTGAATCATCTTTTCAGAGCTCGATCCCAGATGATCACACTTGGTAATCAGAGCGGGCTTACACTCGAGGTCTTCAACCGCTTAGTTCCGGCCTTTAAAAACCGCGGGGGCGACGACGAAAGCGCCGATACGGGTATGTAAAACCAGATCCGCGCAATTTTTCTAAGTCCCCCTCGATTCGGTTTTCGAACACCCCTCAGATTTACTGGTGGAAAGGTTGGAGTTTCGACCGTTCGATCGAGTTTCATCTCAACGGCCCAGAGAATTTCGCCCAAAAAAGTTGGAATTTGGAGCGTCGGATCGATTTTCTTCTCAACGGCCAAGATCGGACGCGAATTTCGCTTAAGGGAGATTTACGCAATCTACAGAATTCGCGCTCGTCGATTCTACAGTCAATTTGACTCGCAGTAAGTCGACCAACACCTAGAATTCGATTATTTTCGTCGCGCATCTTCCTGTAAATCGCCAAATGGAGGGAAAAAAGGAGATATTTCAGTACAGAAAATCGCGGAGTTACGTGCTGAGCATAAGCAAATACGTGCAGCG